GAGACTTCAATGGCTCCAGCCTCGTCACAGTAACACACAGCACTCTTTATATATAGAATTAGATCATATATAAAGTTTATCATATTAAAGCTCATTGTTTGTTTAATCATTCGATTTGGTCCACTCGCCCAGTTTTTATAGAGTTTTTAGCTAATCACTACTTTGGTTTGGAGAATAGTGATTTTCTCTGCAAACTAAAATTCATGCCTTTTTGTCTCCTTACATGATGACCTCAGTGGAAATCCATCCGGGATCACAGTCTATCTGGGCCGTCAGAGTCAGCAGGGATCCAATCCCAACGAAGTCAGTCGGACAGTAACGCAGATCATTGTTCATCCAGGCTTCAGCTTTTCCACACTTGACAACGACATTGCCCTAATGAAGCTCTCCTCAACTGTAACCTTTAACGCCTACATCTCACCTGTCTGCCTGGCTGCTTCCAACAGCAGCTTCTACAGTGGAGTCAACTCATGGGTCACCGGCTGGGGCAACATCGGGTCCAGTGGTAGGTCACGAAAAGTCCTGATGTCAGTCCAGGGGAACCTTTGTTAGAGCTGAAATATTCTGTGATAGCCCGGGAATGTCTGACAGCCACAGTTTTCCCTTCAGGAGGAATGGGACTAAATTCCAGTAAACTACTGTAAGAAGCTTGTTGAAGGGAACCCAGAACACTTGCCCCTGGTTGCACTGAATAATCAGGACACGGATGGAAGATTTATAGAGAATTTCAAACTCTTTCTCACCCAGTTCAGGATGATTTTATCATTTTAAAATTAATCATTTTAATAACACTAATTCAAGCAGAAAACAGTCTGATTTCATTTCAGATGTTGGACTTAAGGTGTTGTTTTTAAACAGTGGGTGTAAATGTTTGATTTGGACTTTAAGTGCATCATTTTCTCACTGTTTAGATCAACTTCTGTATGCTTTACCTTCAATAATAATGGTGTGAATTCATGTCTCCTCAGCACCTCTTCCTTTTCCACAAAACCTGATGGAGGTGGAGGTACCAGTTGTGGGAAACAGGGGATGTAAATGTAGCTATGGAGCTAGCACCATCACCAGCAATATGATATGTGCTGGCTTAACTGTGGGAGGAAAGGATGCCTGCCAGGTAAACATCTTTGCTGCTAGCTGCTGGGTTCAACAGATCATTGCATCTCACCACAACATGTTTCTCATTTTAAAGGGAGACTCTGGAGGTCCAATGGTGAGCAAGCAGAGCGACCGCTGGATTCAAGCAGGAATTGTTAGTTTTGGACGAGGTTGTGCATTGCCAGATTTCCCTGGAGTCTATTCTAGAGTTTCCCAGTATCAGACCTGGATCAACGATCATATACCTACCAACCGTCCAGGCTTCATTACCTACACACCCGATGAAACTACAACTGACCCTGACCTCAGCGTCTCCTGTGCAGATGTACCCCCAATTATATTACCAACCACTACCACCACAACTACCACTACTACTACTGCTACCACAACTACTACTACAAGCATTATGAAACCAAAACCTACAACTGGCTCAGTAGCAACAAATCTCAACACAACCAATGTGACCAAGCCAACAACCAAACCTATAACCACCACAGCAACATCCAGTACAAAGACCACCACCACCTCTCCACAGCCCACCATCCCCAGGCGTGAGTACTTATCATTTTCAGGATACACACTGAGACATTTGGTGTCATTTTTTTCTCTCTGTGCTGATTTTGGGGTTAAGCTGCTTGGTCTTAAACCAACGCCTGGGCAGGATTTTCTCGGGAATGGTGTCTGACTACTGTACCGTGATTGGACAGGATTTAGATAGGCATGTTTAGTTTGGAAAAGCAGAGATACCTCACTTATCTTTACAACTTAAAACTTTAGTTGTGCAGTTCACTAGTGATTTAAGCGCTCACTTCTTTATGAAACTCATAACCAAACCAATGACTATAATTGGCTCAGTAGTAACAAATCTCAGCAAAAGACAACATCTGCTCACCTGTTTCCCCAATAAATGACCCTAGTGGGGCATTCCCACCTCTGTGGCCCTGCCCCCCTGCTGTGTTGCAGTCTTTCTAAATATTGCCTGAGCGACTATGAACTCTTTTCTGGTCTGCACCTCTACTTTCAGTTCTCCACCTGCCCTGTGCTTAGCTCCCTCTTTGTGCCCCCTCTCCCACCCACGCTGCATCGATCTTCAGTGATGTGTGTTAAAACAGGGCGATCTTCGGCAGCTGAGCTTCTCATGGACTGTGAATTCTTGAAAGAAGTGACATCTTTTTTCTTGCTCTTGCCACCTTGAGAACAATAATAATTGCATCTGTTCTTGTGGAATATGTAGAATAAAAACTGAGTGCTGATATCTTAGTGTTTTAGCATTTTAATTGACTGTTGTTTTACCCTTTTCTCTCCAGCTCTAGTTTGTGGGCGAGCTCCACTAAACACCCGTATTGTAGATGGAAGCCCGCTGGTGACTGAGGGTAAGTGGCCGTGGATGGCGAGCTTGCAGCATTTAGGGAAGCATGTGTGTGGAGGGACGCTGGTGTCAGAGGACGCCGTTCTGACCAATGCCAAATGCGTTTCAAGGTGAGCTCAGCTGAGAATGGTGGCCATTTGTGTGACTTGATTTGATTAAAATTTGCTGATTTGTTTCATTTCCTGTCTGAATTATTCTTTTTTAATTGAATGAAATTCAAATTAGAATAGAATACTCTCACCAGCCACTTTATTACATACGGCTTGCTAGTACCAAGCTGGACTCCCTTTTGTCTTCAGAACTGCCTTAATCCTTGTGGCTTCAAATTCAACAAGGTGCTGTAAACATTCCTCTAAGAGTTTGGTCCATTTTGACATACTAGCATCACACAGGTGCTGCAGATTCATCAGCTGCTCATCCATGACGAGAATCTCCCGTTCCACAAATCTTAAAGGTGGATTGAGATGTGGTGACTGTGGAGCAGACATGGGCAATGTGGAGTCAACAAGTCATCTCCATGTCATGTATTGGTTCTACCCAGCCAATTAACCAGGTGAGTCCAATCTGCACAGGTTAATTCACGGTGAAGATTGGACTCACCTGCTTCAGTGGCTAGGTAGAACAAATACATGACATGGAGATGACTTGTTGACTCCACATTGCCCATGTCTGCTGTGGAGGCCATGAAAGTACAGTGAACTAATTTTCATTTGTTAGAAAAGAGTTTGCGATGATTTTCGCTCAATGACTTGGCGCATTACTCTGCAGGAAGTAGCCATCAGAAGTGGATACACTGGTCATAATGGGATGCACATGGTCAGCAACAATACTCAGGTATTTTGTGGCATTCACATGATACTAGAGGGTCCAAAGTGTGCCCGGAAAATATCCCCCAAATGGGTACACCATTACCACCAGCTTGAACCACTGGTACAAGCAATGATAGATCCATGCTTTCCTGTTGTTGAAGCTAATTCTGACCACTAATGTTCAAATGTCACAGCAGAAATCAAGGTTCATCAGACTAGACAAGGTTTTCTATCGTTAATGGAGAAATGTTTCCACCAATACTATTTCTGCAGTTGTTTGGTCCTAATCAACCATTTCTTTGTCCCTCAGCTCCCTCAATGGGTCTGAGTATACCGTTGTGTTGGGTCGTCTGAAGCAGAACGGATCAAACCCTAATGAGCAGACTTTCAATGTGGCCAACATCACTTTGAGCAATCTAACAGGTTCCAACATTGCATTGCTTCAGCTGTCCACCAAACCCATCCTAAACAATTATGTTCAGCCCATCTGCCTGGAAAATGGCAGAAGCTTCTCAGCTGGATCTACATGCTGGGCCACAGGCTGGAGTTCTGGGAATGGAGGAGGTAAAATCACATCTACATGACTGATCACTACCATCAAATTCTGGATATTATCAAACACATTTCTTTTCCATATTTTAGAAGAGCAAGTTCTTCTGGAGTTCAAGACCACTGTTGTTGAATGTGAGAATATATCATCTGCTGACAGCATATGTACCCAGGTGTTTACATTGGAACAGGTGAATATTTCAACATTATTGTTATTATGTTATATATTGATATACATTTCACTAATTCTACAAAAATGGCTGGAAAGGCCAAAATATTTCAGGTCCTTTGATCTTAGAAGGTTCTGGGTTCGATTCCCAGCCCGGGATCTTTCTGCATGGAGTTTGCATGTTCTCCCTGAGCATGCATGGGTTCTCTCCGGGTACTCCAGCTCCCTCCCACACTCCATTAACATGACTGTCGGGTTAATTGGCTTCTCTAAATTCTCCTTAAGTGTGAGTGTGTGCGAGAATGGTTGTTTGTCCTGTTTGTCTCTGTGTTGCCCTGCGATGGACTGGAGACCTGTCCAGGGTGGACCCCGACTCTGGCCCGTGGACCGCGGGAGATAGGCACCAGCACCCCTCACCACCCCTGCTGGGATAAGCATGACAGAAAATGGATGGATGGGTGGATGATCTTAGAGGAAAACCAGAGACAGATTTTAGAATAGATCAGCACTACCTGATACCAAGGAAGGCCAGAAAGTGTTTGCTGTTGTGGAAACCCATATAACAAAACCGACAAGTTCATCTTAAAGAAAGCTTGTTTTGTAACAGAGCCAGTGAGATGGGTTGAGGAACAGTGTGTGGAAGTCTAAGAGGGAAACCAACTCAACCAAACCCACCACAGTCTCAGTCAAATGAACATTTCATCAGGAGAATAAAATACCAGTTGTTTTGAAGCAGGTCTAGTTGATCGGCACTAGGTCAAGTTGTTCGGCACTAGGTCAAGTTGTTCAGCGCCAGGTCCAGTTGTTTTGAACCAGGTCCAGCTGATTTGCATCAGGTCAAGCTATTTTTGGTGCCAGGTCCAGTTGATTTGCAGCAGGTGCAGCTGTCTGGTACCAGGTGCAATTGTTCAGGATCAAGTCGAGTTGTTTAGCACAAAGTCCAGTAGATGGGCATCAGGTCCAGTTGTTCAGCACTAGATCCAGTTGTTTTGCCCAACGTCCAGTTGTTAGGCACCATGCCCAATTTTTCGGCACCAGGTCAGTTGATTTGCACAGGTCCAGTTTTTGGTACCAGGTCCAGTTGTTCTGCATCAGGTCCAGTTGTTTGGCACAAGTTCCAGTTGTTCGGAATCAGGTCCAGTTCTAAAGCATCAGGTCCAGTTAATCGGCATCAGGTCCAGTTGATTTACATCAGATCCAGTTGGTTTGCTGCAGGTGCAGTTGTTCGGCCAAGGTCCGGTTGTTCAATATCAGGTCCAGTTGTTTGGCATCAAGTCCAGTAGATTTACACCAAGTCCAGTTGATTTGCATCAGGTCCAGTTTTTCTGGCATCATGTTCAGTTGATTTGCACCAGGTCAAGTTGTTTGGCACCAGGTCCAGTTGTTCAACATCAAATTCAGATGATCTGCACCAGGTCAAGTTGTTCGGCACGAGGTCCAATTGTTCAACATCAAGTCCAGTTGTTTGGCATCAAGTCCAGTTGATTTGCACCAGCTCTAGTTGTTTGGCAGCAGGTTCAGTTGTTTGGCATCAGGTCCAATTGTTTTGCACCAAGTCCAGTTGATTTACATCAGGTCCAGCTATTTAGTCCCCAGGTCCAGTTGATTTGCAGCAGGTGCAGCTGTCTGGCACAAGGTCCAATTGTTCAGGACCAGGTGCAGTTGTTTGACACCAGGTCCAATTGTTTGGCATCAGATCTAGTTGTTCCGCATCATGTCCAGTTATTCGGCATCTGGTCCAGTTGTTTGGCACCAGGTCCAGTTGTTCGGGAACCATGTTCAGTTGTTCGGCACCAGGTCCATTTTCTGTAGATAAGTGTGACCTCCTGTAGACCACATCACCTCCTGTAGACCACAGTGACCTTCTGTAGACCACCATGACCTGCTATGCAATGTTTATGCAGCACCCTGATTTGTGGTTCTTTTCAGGGTGACTCCGGCGGCCCACTCATGTGTGAACAGGATGGATCTTGGTTCCAGGTCGTCGTTCTGTTTTTTGTTGGCATCTCTACCAGACCAAGAAGACAAACTCCTCTGATGGTCTTTGAAAATCTGAATCGCTTTGAGGACTTCCTGCTTCAGTCTCTGGGGACATTTCTGAGTCCGACCATTCGAGAGAACAGCACCGTCACCAACGGCACTGTCGACTCCACAACTGCAACCATCATGACGACCAGTGGAGGGACTCAGACCCACATGTCCTCTGTCTTCTGCCTGTCTCTACTTGTGGTGTTTTTTCTCCAATTCTTTCTGTAGAAATGTCCAACTCCACCTGTTACCCGTTGCAACGGAAAAATGACTGTAAGCTGTTGTTCAAGGAAGAATCTGCCTGATTTGGACCAATTTCTAAACCTGCTAAGGAATCTTTGAACCTTCTGGTTTCTATCCTCAGTAAGAGTCATGGTAATGCTTTCTTTATTGGGGACCAGTGAAGGACCTGTTTACCTTGCAGCTTTAGAGGTCCCACAACACTTATGTTTCCTACATCTTTGGACTAAAGAGACGAATCAAGCCGCCTTTGGTGAAACAACTTGTTTCTGTGGTTCTGAGACGTCCAAACTTACGTTTCTGTCCCTCATTGATTGATGTGTTGGTTTTGATGATGGTGTGGTTGGTCTCTGTCTCCTTCATGCTTTGATTAAAATCTGAACCCAGAATCTGTTTAATAAAAATCTACTGAGGAACAATGAGTGCCTGTGGTTCTGCATGTTATAAAAGCTTCACCGTCCAATCAGAACATGGCTGCTGGGCAGAATTACTCCTTTAAATGAATTAAAACTGAAGTATTCAGATGAGGCAGCATCTGAGGTAGCCATAGCATCTGAACTGGGTCTAAACTGCTTTGATCCGGTTGAACTTTCAGAGTTAAACTATTGTCTTCATCTAAGCCTTCAACTAGATGTTAGATCCAGTTCCAACCAGGTTATTTAGGGAAGTATTCCCTTTGATCTCCTCCTCCATTTTGGATTTGATTAATCTATCTCGTTTACAGAGATATGTATCAAAGGCTTTAAGGCTGCTGGAATAAAATGAACTTTAGCTCTAATTTAAACACTGCTGATCCAATCCTCCATTGTAGCTGCTTTAGGTTTTAACCATTTTCTGGGGACAGTCTTTTAGAAATATAAACCACAGTTTTGTTTTATTTTTTTCAGTGTGCAGTTATTAAATGTTTCCAAAATACAGGACTGCACATTTAACCCAGATTTTCCCATTAAAGATGTTGTATAAGTGATCACATCTCTGCTCCCAGAATACTTTGATTACAACTCCAGAAAATGTGAAAATGAAGAGCCTTCTTTGTGCCAGCATGAATTTTCATTTCCCTAAAGTCCTCTCTGAGCTAGGGCTAGGGGGTTGCAACCTTTCTCCCACTTAGAAATCATGGATGGTCTGAAATTATGATTGTAGGTCCATTTCCCCTGGGAGACGCATTATCT